TTTTTAAAATCTCTGAGTATAAATTGTGGTAGGATTACTAAACATAAAGTAACACATTCATGTGAATTTGAGGTACTGTTAGACCACATGACCACAAAAGTCCAGGCAGCCTCCACAAGTGGAGTTCGGCTCCTCAGGAGAACAACTGGAGTGGTAAATACAGTAAAATTACCTCTGGAGAATAGATGCATTATTAACCAGAGTCATTTCATTAATACATCTGGTATTAAAACTGCTCTAAAACAACTTTTTTGGCAGAGGCATTTTTCTCCATTTGTTATTATATTTAAAAATCTTAACAGTGCTTCTAAACATCCCTCATAATGTTGCAGTCACTAAGACACACTGGATCCTAACAGCGGGCACATCTTAATGTCACTTAAAATGTTACATCTGATCATAACGAGCGGAGCACATGCTCTAGGACTGGAATAATTCAGTTTTTCATTATGCACTGCGACACTTTCAGGCTGATGATCCCAAGAAGGCGACCCCTGCCCCAGCTGCAGCCGCAGAGACCGTCAAAGCCAAGGAGGAACCCAAAGCAGCAGCCAAGTCATCAGAGGCGGCTGTAGATAACAAACCGGCTTCAGCGGCTGCCCAAGCTGCAGGAGATGCAGCCAATGCGTCCAAAAAAGTGGAGAAGAAGAGCTTCTTTAAAAGTCTGGTAAGGAGAGCGTCACTTTTCCCTAGACATTGCTGGTTGTTAATTCAGATTTACCTCGAATGGCCCTGCACATTGCAATATGTTGTAGCTTTAACTCCACTAGATGGCAGCAGCAACTCATTAAGTAACTGAAGGTGTTGGCCCTTTTTTTTTGAATTTGTGAATCGCTATAAAAATACAAAACAAAAACAAAGCCCTCAAGTTAATAATGTTCCCCCACAACTATAGCATCAAGAACAATGCTTCTACAGGAGACTTAAATCAAATGCAGATAAATAGCTGATGGGTTATGTATGTGTTCAGATTTGGCATGGATCACATGGGTCTTTAAAGAAAAGATTAGTACAGTAGATGTTGGAATGATAATTTTTTTCCTATTTAAATTTCAGGGTCAGAAACGTAACTCGACAGATGCCGGGATCCAGACAGAGCCAGCCACTGTTGCTCCAGCAGCTGAGAAGGCCAAATGAAACCAAAACCAACAGTGAAGGGTCCCTGTACAGCCACGCCCTCTCTTTCCTGCTCTAACTCAATCTTTATGTCTCTCTCTGTCTCATTTTCCTTTCAACGCTTACTGATTCGCTTTAACTACATTTTTTGTTTTCTGTTTAGAAGTTACAATGTGCAAGAAAAAGTGACTGCAATGGCAAAAGCATGTTGTGAGAAAGACACACAGCAGGTAGTTGAACAAGTGGTGATTTGAAATGGTCAAAGGTGAGGTCGTTGAGATATATACATGTATAAATATTTGTTTGGGGTCATGTAAATGCCTTGACAAGTATAGCAATATGAGTGTGAAACCTTTTCTACAGACATTTAATGTGACTACTCTCTGTTCTTGCGACTTAACACACATGCAATAGATGGTAAAATGCATTGCTTTTAGCAATTTGTTTGTTAAAAACATTTAAGAAGAAAGGTTCTATTTTCACAGTTCACACCAAAAAAAATCACGCAGCTGTGGCAGCGCAGGGCTTCATACAAAATAACATTGAATCACTTAAATCTATATTACATTAACATTAACAGCTCTGAAAAGAGCTAATAAGAGGAGCTTATTAGTATAACAAACTGCACTTACAGATTTCCTTAACTTTGCTACGTAGACTAAAGCACATGCATACATCCGTTAACAGTCATTTATCTTTATTGTTGTGAGGGGAACTGACTGTAAGTCTAAACAAATGCATCTGAGGTGGAAAAAAAGGTGTCGTGCAAATGTGTCCTTGTGGTACGTTTTGCAGTAGTCGTGAATCACAGTTGATTAGCTTTTCATTTGATTGCAGCTCTTTGTGTCATGTAATTTAATGGAAGTCTTTTAGCGTCAATCACTTGTGTTTGGCATTATGTGCAATTAATATCATGCTTTTGTTTGCCTACATGTATGTATGCATGTGTGTGTAACTTCAGCTATCTCAAAATGAATAAATATGTTCACCATTCGTTTGTTCTTCATCCATGTGAACTGCAACAGAAACCTAATCAACAATAAGTGTCTGTTGCAACATCTACATAGATATCCGGCTCAGCAAGTTTGGCAAAAATCACATATGACATCTGTCCAAATTATTTTAATGCACACAACTTAGAGCACTACACTTGTGAGCTAATAGGGCGTGAAAATACTGTAAGCCTTACTCATCTATGAGTCTATTTTGTTGGCTGACAAACGAGTGACAGTTATCTGGCGGAAAAAAGAAAACTGACCGCAGAGCAGACCGTCATTTGTAACTTTGACAGCCCGAGAGATGGCTGCTGTGCGTCACTATGGAATACTAATTTACATTTAGAGTCCATGAGACACCTTAGAGATAAAAGATGTAAAACAAGATCTAAGGAATTGTATGTTTCAGGTAAAGGAGGCCCTCAAATATTCTATTACCATTTATGATGTAATTCCTATGATGGATAACACAGTGTGCAGTCTTTGGAAGGATGTGTTTTAGATAGTAATGTCTGAGACCTACCATTCAGCCGCCATTAAGTGATGAGTCGTGGCCCCTGAAGGCATAACTCACGCTGCTCCTTTATTATCAATGAGACGCACTCTTCTTGCATTACCCTCTATAATCGTTGTGATCATTTTAAATTGTGCATCAAAGTAATTGCCATGGCACTTAAGGAGAAAAAGTGAGGTATTGCCTGCACAGTGTAAGACATGTGGTCCGGTGTCAGTCTTCTCCCCTGTGGATGTTTCAAACTAAAAGGAATGTGTGACAGTCTCGCTGGTATGTGCTCATCACTATACATAAAATCACCACTTATTACCATTCTCTTAAAATGAAAAACTTTATAGTACCCACAATGCATCTCACCACCACTTCCTTGATGTCTTCATGCTGGTATTAGGAAATTCACTCAGCCTTTTTCCGCAGAAGAAACAACAGTGCAGATGACGGTAACAGCTGCATGACCCTACACGCAGTACGCCAAACTTGAGATTGTTTAAAGGGAAGGCTTTTCTGTATAATCTGGTCAACCCCTTCTGTGTGCGATCACAGACAGAGTGGAGCTGGGTGTCTTATTGAAATGGAAAACGGTTACAGGTGTGGATTACATAAAGATTGTACACACTGCAAGAGATCTGCTTGACCACCATGTTGCTGCAGTTCATCCCGGGACAATGGATGCGACTGTGTGAATGCACCAAACTCGGAGGGGGGGGGCGGAACAAGGGAACAGTGGGCAGGGAGGCCTGACAGGAGGCCTGCTGTCAGCACTAATGTGCATCATGGCACTGCTCGCTAGTAACAGGTCTGTTCTGTGAGGAAACATTAGGGTGAAACAACTCCGGGGACCAGTGGGGGAAAGACAGTAATCGCAGATTCTGAACAAATTAATGGTAGTGATCTTCTACAGGCCAGTGTCAGTCACTCTAACCGAGGGTGAATCAGCAACTCCTACAGGCCGGGTGTGTGTGTGTGTGTGTGTGTGTGTGTGTGTGTTTGTGTGCTGGGGAGGTATTCTAATGCAGATGCTCTCAAGTGACTTTTAGGGTTTGTTTTGGGGGGTCTTTTCAGTGGAATGTTACACCCTGCTGGAGAGACAAAAGGTGTCTGTAGTTTGATAATGTAAATGCTATAAATGACTGAAACGTCACTGTTATTCAGTGTTGTGTGTTGGAACATTTGCTTGATAATCAAATCAGTGATGTGATCATGTCTTAACCTCCACTGAAAGATGATATGGTCAGCTGTGTGTTGATAAAAAAAAAAAAAAAAAGATTGAGATTAAAAGCTTCCATTTTTCTTTTTTGTACTTGGTATGTTGTCTGTGAAAAATGTGTTGCAGCCAGTTGCACTGGGGAGATATAAACCACACAGAGTTCTAAGATGACTGGTGCTCAAAACATAATTTACTGTGCTGCTACACAAACAGTATGACGATGGTAAATATTGGTCAAAATGGATTTCTTATGGAAAGTTTACTCTTCATGAATGCGTATTATGGTGGAGATATCACTCCAGAACACAAACGATTTTAGGGTTGACCTTAGACTTATGGATATGCATCTTTAGGATGGGCATGATGAAATATTTGTGTCGTAACTACAGACAGTTTGGACTGATCTTGTTTTGTAAAAAAATGTCATATTTTAACCCTGTGCACAGAGAAAATCTGTCTAAACTGAGCTGCGGTATTGTCAATTTCAAATATGAGTTATTTAAGGGACTTTTCCAAGTCTAGTTAATGTTTGAGAGGAGGTTAAGGTCAGAACAATCATTATACCACTATGCTAGTTTGTCTGGCTTTCGATGATAGAGAGAGAAACAAATCAGTTCAACAGGATTAATCCAAGCAGTAACAGAGAGAAAATCAAAAGCATTCTTGCCATGTTTATTAAAATTATAATGGTGAAGTAATTATTGAATATTGACCAGGGTAAACGTATTTTGCTCATTTGTTTATCAATATAAGTTTCTTCTTCATTGTATTATTTGCTGTTTTTTTTATTTTATATGAGTAACTATGTCCATATGGGTCATAATGGAATAAAGACTTTCAGCCAAAAACGGTTATACATTGTACTTTCACCTTTTCTCTCAATGTAGAAGCCAGAATATTTCAAACATGTGAAGACCTCAAATAAAAGGAATGCTTTAGGTGACTGATGAAATTTCCCCGGTGATCAAAAACACAACAGCTGGTTGCACTGAATAAACACAGGAATGAGAAAGGAGATTATATATTGTCTCTCAGGAGCGACACCAGGATTATGCAAGAAGGCTGTGAATCTGGAAGAGAACAATGCAGTCAGCTGCTCCTGACACGCCAAGACAAAAAGAAGCCCCACCGCAGCCCTTCCCCATTCGCTGTTCCAGTTCCTATCAGGCTGTCTGTCACATAATTATTCATTCAAGCATTTTGTTTTTTTTCCTTCTCTTTATCTTTAATTAAAATGAGCTGCGTTCGGTTTGAATGCATACGTGTGTGTCTTTTTGTTGTTGTTGAAAGACACAATCTGTATCAAAGAGTTAGAGCAAAACAGTGGAGGAGAAATTCATTAGCATAAAGTCAAACAAAATGACAAAGTTAATTAAATCAGGTAAAAGTAAACAATGTTTGCGTACTCGTTGCTGTCATAAAATTAAGGCTAATTAATAAATTGCAATATATAATTGATGATGAAATTGCCATCCAGAGAAGATCTGTCTGGTTAAACACAAATACCACCACCTCCATATAGAGGTTTTTTTTTATGATAGGCTATAACATCTCCTGGTAATTTCATCATCCTGAGGCATCAGACTGTTTCTCCAGATTGATAGCCTTTCACCGAGCCTTTGTGGCCACAGAACAATAGGAAATGAGCGGGAGGCCTCTATATGTGTCACATGTGGTGCCTTTGATTAACATACTAGACTTGTTTGTGTAACAGGATCTCAGGGTGAGGCAAGAATACCTAAAGAAGAAAATGTTTTACTTTAGGGCAGCACATGTTTTAAACACCAAAAGGCTGTTTTAGTTTGCACTGCAGGTACTCAGAGAAGACATGGCTTATTCAGACCAAGATTTGAGCAGATGAAATACACATTGAAATTGTTTTAACTATGTGTACAATATCAGCTAACATGTGATAGGCATAAAGTCTCTTTATTGGTATCTGGCACGTACACAATAATCCCATTCATTACTGCATTTAGTGAAGTCTGCTTGCCAAACCTGCAGATCTACTTGTGATTTCCTTACATAGAGAACACTGGATTGGTTTGACCTGTTTGTTAACAAGGGTTTCAAGGCAACTTTTAATATATTGGCAGTCTAGAGGGAGGATAAGGCAACAACCCAGCCTCGTCTGAGAGACGGGTTTGTTCTTTGTTCACTGTTCCTTAGCTGGAAGTGGTTACTGACAAAGTTTTTTTTTTCTTTCAGACATTGCGTCCTCGCGGATAGGAGGGTGTTTGTGTCTCAATAATGAGTGTACCCTAAAGTCTACTGAATATCCTCATTGATTGCACAATGTATGGATTTAATTTACCATCAACGCCTGGTGTCTCTTTGGAAGGGTTTCAGGGTGGAGGAGGGGCTGTTAGTCTACTTCACATTAGCCAGTGGGTGCTACTGTAGGTGATTGTCTTTATCTCATTTTCTCAGTGTATTCTTCTTAAAGAACCAAACAGTTACTCTCCATTATTCATAATTTAGCATTATCATTAGGATTAATATAATATAGTATTATAAGTTTGGACATGTCCTATTTTAACAGGAGAAAGCATCCCCTTTTTTTACAAGTTCAAACATTACACATTTGCATTAAGTATATGGCTTCATCACATGCAAATTGTATATAGAACTGGCCTGCTTTGAGTTATTTTTGCACGTTTTATAAATGGGAAGAAGCTTGAATTTTCTCATGAGTCAACCAACCTGCTTCTGCTTTAACGACAACGAAAAAAAAAACCTCATGTAACTGTGAAAAGTTTGAGGCACCCCTCCCCCATCTCCACATGGTAGCTGATGCATGACGTGAGAGCGTAAAAGAAGGGCTACTTCTTTAAAGGTAGGTGGAGTGCAGCATTGGGACTACATCAGAAACAGTTGTTGTGTAGCCTCTGGCTCTAATCAGCATTAGGAGCGCACTCTGGGACACTTTACACGTATTAAAGTAGCATTTAATGCGCGTTAATATACACGCGAGTCCAACGTCAGTGAAGTAAACACAGGAAGAAAAAATGTTAGATTGTGTGATGTTATGGAATTGTAACCTGGGTGTTTAAAAACACACGACAGTGATTCAATGCCAAAGACTGTCAAACCTGCTGACGTATCTGGTAAGTAAACGGCTCTTAAAAATACGTCATAAAAACACGTTTTAGTATACGTGTTCATATAAATTCAAGCATTGCTTTTTTTTTTTTTTTTCATTGCCGTGTACCAACACAATGCGTAAATCCTTTTATCTGTTATTCGCGACCACGTGACTGCCCTGTGTTTTTTTTTTTGGGGGGGGGGGGGGTTGTCGTGCACGCGCTCCATCTTCCCTCTTGAGAATCGCTAGAGAGAGAGAGAGAGAGAGAGAGCGTCAGAATTCAACAGCTGCACAGTGAGGACTCGCCAAGTAGAACAAAATATGATTCACATTCAAACAATTGAATAGGTGAGCTGTGCACCTCCTGCAAAACGGAGTTTGTGTGTGTGTGTGTGTGTGTGTGTGTGCGAGTGCGCGTGAAATGAAGAAGCAACTCAACACAAAGTGCTTCGCTCGCCCGTAGTATCAGTGTCATTAATAATCCGGAAACTCTCAGTTGGAAGGTATTGTTTGGTGAGTTTCTACAGTTTGGTCGAAGTCGAGACAACAGAACGTTTGAGTTAAAGCTGACGTTGGTGTCGTTAGAAATGCGAGTGTGGACTGAAAGGAGTTAACGTTACCGTGGTGTTAAGTTACTCCACTTTAATCTTGGCGTTCCAACAAATCAATAAGCAGCAACGTAAGTACACGCAGAAACGTGTGGTTATTGTTTGAAGCAATTGTGTTGCCATGAAATGAACGTTATATCGTTATATGTTTTTGTAGTTGAGTTCATGTAACGTTACTTAAAATGAATCTTATCATTTGAAACCATCGGTTTAACGCCAGCAAACACGATATGACTGTTCAAAGTAACACCCAGTTCCTCGTGTTGTGCTTATTATACACAGATAGACATGTAATAACCACTCTGTTTTAAAAAAAGCCGCATTGAGTTTGGTGAAGTTAACGAAACTACAACTCTGAGCACCCCCCCCCCCCCAACCTCACACCTCACGTGCAAACTAACGTTAATTGTACAGAGAGCTGGTCTTGAATTACTAAGTGGCCAACGTTAACGCTGCCTCACACAAAGCCAACGGAGCACACTGGGTCATTATCGGCATGTTGCATGTGCTCACCTGGATTAAATGAAGTTCATTAAGACAAACTAATTAAAGCAAAGTTAAGCAATAAGTAGTAGAAGTGGGTTATATTATTGAGGGGAATAACTTATTATCAACTACATTGCTCAGCCTTAACACTAATGTATTTGGGTAAATGTAAAACAAAAGAATGCATACATATTGTGCCTCTACAGTGTGTTTTTTAATATGCTTTGTTGTCACAGTCTTTCATTCATATGGGCCGTAAGCCTTTGAACTTGCTGGTCCAGTCACTCCACCCTTGTGCCAATCAAACTAACCAGTGTGATAGTTTATTATATTATACATTCATACTGAGACCACGAGAAAGTAGTCCCAGTGGTCACAAAACAAAAGTAAAACATAACCTGTATATGTCTGGAGCATGGCATGTAACTGTGGGAGGTGTGAGTCAGCGGGTCAGCTGAGGTTTGTGGGCCAGTATAACATCCAAACAGGTTTATATGTTAGGTGTCGGCTGTCTATTGTTGGTGCCGATCAAACAAAGTCCATGTAACAGTCTTGACACTTAAGGTGTGGTCTTTGAACGAGATGGTGGTGAAGTTAAAAGGTATTGTGTCCAGAAGAATGCTGAATATTACAGTAATCGATTAATGTCATGGTATTTGAACACTTTCTATTCAACTGCTGTGAATTGTTTAACATTTAATATTGACTGTTACTGTAAACAATGTAGCTTACAAATTCATTTAGTTTTGAACAAACATATTTAAATGCACCATGTGCTGGTGAGTAAGAACAACATTGTTTGTTGTCTTTATGTTTTATTAATGGTCCGTACAGAGAGGAAATGAGTTGTCTATGCAGTTGATTGCTAAAAAAGATACATTTCCTGTTTTCTGTGGTGTATTTTTAACAGATTTGTATCTCACATTAGGTAGCAGCTACCTGATCCTGTTTTTAACGTTCAGCAAAGCCTAAAAACACTTCTTTCTTTTTTTTACCCCCACTGTTTCCAGGTTCCTAATCTGGACCGAGTGTACAGCGTTGTTGTTGTTGTTCCACCTTCAGAGGACAATGCCGACTCACTCGCTGCCACCGTTTGTGGAGAGCCCAGATGGACTTGCCCAAGATATTCTTATTAGTAACAATGCAAGCGTCCCAGGACCCGGCTGTAGCATGACACCACACACCATTTACTCAGAAAAGGCCGTGTTGCAATCTGGAGGAAGCGTACCACTATCGTGCATGTTCTGTGATCAGACTTTCACTCATCAGGATGAGCTAGGACCCCACGTATTAACGCAGCACCCCACTACTTTCTTTGAGCCTGCCGTGCTCCGAGTTGAAGCAGAATTCAGGATCCCAGGGGAGCGACCCGGGCCAGAGCCGAGCAAATTCCCCACCGACAAAGAAGAGGTCCACAGCTGTATTGTGTGTGGTCAGGTGTCGCATGATGCCACTGAGCTGGAGACCCACACGAGGAAGCACAAGGACTACTTTACTTACTGCTGCAACGTCTGCGGACGGCGCTTTAGAGAGCCGTGGTTCCTCAAGAACCACATGAAAATGCACGTTAAACCAGGAGCGAAGAGCAAAGCCCTGCAAGATCTGGAGAGCCCGGTCACGGTCAATGGCGTCGTCCAAGACCTTGCTCCAGAACCAGTAGTCACCGTTTACAAAATGTGCATGGTGTGTGGGTTTTTCTTCCCTGACCACGACAGCCTGGCGGAACACAGCAAAGTACATAATCGAGAGGCGGAGCCGGGCAAAGATAAAGACGAGGAGAAGATGGACGTCACCACCAAATCCCTTGCCAAGCAGGAAACATTTCTTCACAGTCTAAACCTTATGGCTAGACCTTCGACAGGAAATAGTTTGCAACATGACAGATCATCAAAATGGATTCCCCAGCTGGATCCCTTCAACACATATCAGGCCTGGCAACTCGCTACGAAGGGCAAGATAGCAGTTGGTCCGAATAATATGAAAGACATTGGCCAGGAAGCCAGCACGGACAATGAAGAATGCGGCTCCGATAAGGAGGAGTTGAGTCACTTCTGGTCTGAGGGGCAAGCAGACAAAGCTACGAAAGGGGTCCTCGGGAGAGAGCCCCGGTCTCAGCAGCAGACCGTGGTAGAAAACGCGGCCCCGCCACGGAGGTCTCTAATGCAGAAAAGTAAAGTCAAGGAAAGGCCGACCACTTGTGAGGAATGCCAGAGGACCTTCAGGACCTACCACCAGTTAGTGCTCCACTCCAGGGTCCACAAGCGCGACAGAGGTGGCGGAGAGAGTCCGACTTTCTCCGTTGACGGGAAGTTGTCCAGAGCCGGCTCACTGGAGCACGCGGAGGAGGGCTGTGAGGAGGGCTTCGAGGAAGCGGCGCTGACGGAGAACCTGGGTCCAGGTAACTTTAGGGCTCATCACGTGCTCATGTTTCACTCACACACGGTCTTAATTGTGATGTAAAAACACCCCTCTGTTACCAAGTGCTCCCTCTGCTGATGGGAGGGAGGATAACACGTGCCTTTTTTGTGATTTTTACATTTTGTCCTTTTCGTTTCTGTGTATTCATTAATGTATTTGTGTCTTTCAAAAAAGGTGAAGATGGTTTTGATCGATCAAAAATCCGCTCGAAAGCCTGCAGTTACTGTGGCAAATCATTCCGATCCAGCTATTACCTCACAGTTCATCTGAGGACCCACACAGGTATACCCAACACGTTTGGCTTGAATGAATCGTTCATGAATATGAGACTGCACGCTGCAGGCTTGTATTTCAAACTCTCCATATACTTAACTGTACTGTTTGCTGCTTTCAGGTGAAAAACCGTTCAAGTGTGCTTACTGCGACTACGCTGCAGCCCAGAAGACTTCGCTGAAATATCACCTGGATCGCCGTCACAAGGACAAACCTTTTGTGGACATTCCCAGCAGACCCGGGCCTTCGATGCCCTCTCCAAACCATAGAAAACACGACGATGAAAATCCTGCTCCGAATAGATCCAAACTCTGGGTTCCTGGAACCAGATCGTGGACCAATGGATCACCAGAGGACAGCAAAGGTAGCAAGCTCGGCAAACCGCTCGTACACATGAACGCCGAGTATGAGAAATTAATTGCCACGTCTGCTTACTCCCTGACTGAGCATGTCGTCGTAAAGTGCCCCACACCTGTTAACCTGAAGATGGAACGGAAAGAGATAAAAGACGAGAACTCCGAGGCCCCATTAAATCTGTCCTTAAAAGTGTCTCTCTCCATCCCCGCCAGTGCGGAACCCAGAAATGCATTAATTCCAATTGGCTGTTCGTTTTGTGCATATAAAACCATGTACCCAGAGGTTCTGATAATGCACAAAAAGCTCACTCATAAAGACAAGTCAGACGGGACAAGAAAGAACAGATTCGGCAGTTTGAAAGACAAACGTTACACAGGTTGCCCCCCTGCACTCGAAGGGAAAGACGTCACTCCGCTTACGATGATTGACCGGCGCCACCCTCGCCGAACCAAGTCCCCGCCCCCTCAACCCGCAAAACCACAAGAACAGACACCCATTAAACCCCCGCATGCCCCGAAGCGGTCCCCCATCCGTGCACCCGCGGTTGTCGAAGAGACCCAGCGTCGCACGCATAGCGTTGACACGCATCCCAGTCAGGAATCCTCCAGGTACACGGAGCTCATGAGGAAATCCAACGCGGGGATCAAGTATGCCATGGACCGACCAGCCCCCCACCCAGACCGAGTGGGAATCGGTGAGAGGAGTTACCCGGCGAGAAGCGGCGGCCTTTGGCACACGGATGCTGCCCGGCTGTGCCTGTCGAGCCGATTTGGGAGCCTCCCCCAGATGGATTTTGGTGAGCCTTCCAGCAAGAGGTTGAAGTACGCGGTACCTAAAGGCAGGGAGGCTGACACCGGTGAGAAGCCTGGCTTCAGAGGACCAGCAGGGAACGTGTCCAACAGGCTGCTCATCTCGGGGAGGAGTGTGAAAACCGTGCCACAAATGTCGGCTCCATCCACAGTTTCTGACACCTTGGGTTCTTTGAAGACGACGTCTGTGGCTATCGGGGGAGGCTTGGACGCTGACTGGAGCATGATGGACCTTCTGCGCTCCTACACACCCAGTGACCTGGCGTCTCTCTACGGCTCACCAGCCAACCCAACTCATGGAGGTCTGGCCAACCCAAGAGCAGGTATGTATTAGGTTAGCTGGTTCAGCAGAGGTTCATATAGAGCTGCATATCCTAGCAGTTTGTAGAGTTAACATTAAAGGTGTTTTCTCAGGGGGCAGAACCGTGCTGTACCAACACTTACCCACTCTGTCCAACCATCAGAGGAGAGACCCGTCGGGCCCTTTCCCTAATCAGCGCTATGGGACCACTGACAAAAGTACCTAAAGTGGCTCCAAGGTAAAAGGTTGAAACATATTTTGGGAAGTACACACAATTAGAGCTTCCTGTTTTTTTTCTGATTTTCAAACCCTGACCAGAATATCTTACCTGGTGCTTGATATAAATCAATCAAGTCATACTTGAAAACTGTACTGCTCCATTATTTATCCATTAACCTTTTTGGAGAATTTGTTCAATATACAGCAACAGAGGGTAATTGTGTTTCATAGACATTTCATGGCTGAGGCCTTTATTGTACATTTTTTATTTTCTTTATTGAATGAAAAAGTGCAGATCGTCTCTCTTTTTGAAAAGGCTATTCCACTGGTGTGCACTGTGATATTTGTTTCCATTCAGAACTGTTTCTTCATCCACATTTGACCCACACTAATGTTCAGATCTCTGTAAGTGTCTGTGACATAACGGTAAATGTGTATGTGGGGTAACGTAAATATATCTGTCAACTTTCAGTACATAGAAATTATATAAAAAAACGTAAGAAATATAATTTGTGTGAGAAATTGCTGCTTTGTTCACTTACTGTTTATGTCCAGGCAGTAATTAAGCACTAGTCTATTCCCCCCCCCCTTTTCCAAGGCACTGAAGGTTGGGTATTTTCTGTTTAATAACTTAAAGGCTTCGGCCCAGTGGTTCACAAACGGGCCTCGGTAACACGTCCTGTGTATGTTGAAGTGGTCTACCTCGCATTGTGCGCTTGACGCTGTTATTTTTGTAAAGCTGCTGTGGCGCTCGTGTCAGCCGAGCCTCTGCACCGAGTTGTCTATCGACTAGAGACGGATGCTTTTGTGGTATAACTAGATGAACATGCGTTTTTCGGGTGTCGGGGTATTTGTCAGGCACCGCATAAAACAGACTCGCGAGGTACAGATCCAACTGCTGCTGAGGCCACATCGACCTGTGGCACGTGATTGACTGTAACACGGTGTGGGTTGAGGAGTTCTTTGACACGCTTGGTGTTGACGAGCCCGGGTTTTTAAACACAACGCAACTTTTGAAATGGCAAATGGCTATCGTCTGCTTTAGTGGTGCCTCAAATCCATAAGCTGTACCAAAGTTCTGTTTGTGTATTAAATGGTCATGCTGTATTGTTTTAGACTGCACATTTAGTCACTTTTCAGGAGCTTTGCTCAACTATGCAGTCTTGAAAGTGTTATTTAGTTTCAAGTGGCAGCAGTCGGTCCCGGCTGGTCATCACTGTGTAGTTTGGAGCAGCGATGTTGATTTAATGGCTTGATTAATTACACACTATGAACAAAGTCTCAGGTTTACGCATTTATGAGCCATTTAGTCTGTTGTGTCATTGAGTATTTTTGCCACTTTTGAAAGGCTTGGGTTAAGTTATTTCTTTTTTTTTTTTCTTTTTTTTGGGGTATTCACATTACTGGTGTACTTTCTGTAAAAAATTTAAATATTGTTTGAGATTTGTATGACACGTTTCAATAATAAAGTGAGACGAAAAGCTGTGTGTTATGTGTTACCTCACTCTGGCCTCCCACAGTGTACTCAGTACAGAGCACAGATGTAGCTGTAGGTTGAGGGACTGAAATAAACTCAAATTGGTACCGTGTGATTTGACAAACCTGTCTTTAATTTGGACATCTCCCAAGTGTAGAGGTTACATATACCTGGAGCTGAAATGCTTATTGAATTGTCAAATAAGTAATTTTATGGATGTATCATACTCTAATATGCACAGCGTATACATCTACACTGTACACAGTTTTGCTTCTATAGACAGCATTTATACATTAACAGTTATTAAAGTAAAAGACTGAAGACTAAGAGATGGTGGTTCCTTGACCTTTAACCTGCTCCCAGGGTACACCCTGCAATGACTGCTTTAATTGCTGACTACAGACTAGTCCGTGTCTGATTTAGATCAATTCAGAATTGGATCGTTTTTAACACATCCACATTTTCTAGCTTTTGAGTTAAGATTGCAGTCATATCAATATGGATGCTGTGGCAGTAACATGTTTGTCAGAGTAATGCTGCAGTATCTTCAGTTCCTAACGAGGAAAGATTTAGTCAACATGCATCAGCCTCACACCTCCACGCCAACACACATTGTGTCTAATGCCAAAAAATGGAAAATGTCTGCAATAATTTACATTAGACGAATGTTGCATTTCCCCATCAATGACCCACATTGACCACTAGAGGGCAGTATTTACAAAGTCTAGATCAGAGCCGTGTCACATTCTGGTTTCAAAGCCTTGTATGTTGAGTCTGAATAGCAGACCTACATATGTAGCACAGTTATAAGTCAGATCACTGTGGCCAGGTTGGGAATGGAATTACAAAACTAATTCAAAATACAGGAGTATTCATTAGCCTTGATACCGAATGGAGTAAATTACACACATCAGTCTTCATTTGAAGAAGTACACTTCTCCATACAGGACAAAAACCTGCTTGTTCTGCTCTCTTTGCTTTGAAAGTTACATACTGAATGCTGCGCCTGTGGCCACACCCTAATTTGGTGATGTCATACAGGTGTTAGCAGTCAAAGGCAACACACCTGCTTTGTGATTCAGTGGGCATGTACTCCTTGAAAAATAAAGCTTTCTGAGAGAAGTTTGGTCACATCCTCTCCAAGACATGAGCACACTATTGTTGAATTCCCTCACATGTATAAACAGAGAAGACTGACAGAACCTATCACGGCGGTGCATTCTGTAAACAACAAATTACAAGGGACAATCTTCAGCACATTGAACACTTTAAACTTTGATTTCCATCCCCCCCTCTTCCTTCCCTTTTGAGTAGACCACATCTGTTTGCTGTCTGTTCCCCTGGGCCAGCACTGTGTAATCTATTGCATTAGCTCACATTAGTGCATATCGCCCATGGGCCTTGGTAATCACAAACGCAAAATGAGCATTTCACTTAGCATCACCCTCATGTTCCCCCCCACACTATGGCAAACTTAGTGCAAAGGCATGGCAGAGAAGTCGACAACAGCTTATGACATGCATCGCGCTACTCTCCATCCCCGTGTCCAAAATGCTGCAAGGGCTCTCATGTCAAAAGTCCCTATAATAGCCAAAGATACACTTTGAATTTCCACTCTGTTTACTTCTTGTTCTCTATGTTTGTCTCTGTAATTTGGGGGGGCCTCAAGAAACATTCAAATATGTGCATTTCTGCCAGAAAAATGTGGTCTGACCTTCACCTACGTTTCTGTTCCTTGCAGATCAATGGCACTGCAGGCCTTCCTTTCATTAAAGTGCTTCATTGCTGGGCTTAAAAAGACCTACAATCATTATTGACTTGATACATTAATGTAAAAAAAAAAAATAGATTATCAACACTCCGTTTCTCTACAAGTTACAGAAAACAGATTTTATAGATCTAATTAGAACTGTATTTATTTTCCTACATCTTGAAATTTTGTATTCCCCAATACCATGCCTCATTGCCAATTATGCACAGAGATCAACCTGAGTACAACCTGAGATGTTTCATGCAAAATTCACATGGGAATATTATTTTTTTTCCTCAAAATGCTTTGGCATAAAACACCTGAGGTCTTCACAGCTCCTTGTCAAGCTTCTTTCATCACATTAGATTTTGTGTGATTCTGACAGCAGCCATTTTAGTGCACAACTCAATACACAAATGGCATTTTATGCTTGCATTGCCATCCATTCATCTGTTCAGTGTGTTTGGTTTTAGAGGAGGTTGTGGGTACATCTGTGACTGTCTTTAGCAATTCCACCCTCTTTTTCCTCCATGTAGTATGACAATCAAATCTCCTACCTCCCCCTCTCCCTGTAAAGTAAACTTCATGTTTTTCTCCTTCCCCTTAAGTGCTCTCTCCTCTTATTTTCAGTCCTTTCATCACTCATAATTGTTGCCTCCAGATTGTCAACTTGCATGAATTAGCAATTGGGCCAGCAAAAGCGGATACGGTCAATTGTTGAACATCCTGTCAGAATTTTGAGGCAGAAAGTCTGCTCTGGCTGTGATTGCTCATCATCGTCACCCCATTCCTCTGAGGAAGAGGAGCAAATGTAATGGTTCCTACAAAAACAGCCCCTGGCCTAAGGAAAGGGATTTGGGTGTCTGGAGACAACAGGGGCCATATGGAGCGGGCTGAGATAGCAAGGCACATGTACAGAATAATGGATGACGTGTCATGTTTCATGTTGCCGAGAAGCCATCAAGAGACTTGGTTTGGGGAAATCAAAAGGCTCACATACAGCAAAAGCGACTGTTGGACCATTTAGCATTGTTTTGTTTATTTTTATGTTGGGAGAGTGCTGAACATATTGAAGCCTTTAAAGAATGTGTTGCTCTACCTCCATGCTTTTGGTCTGTTGAGGTTATTTGTAAGTAAATGCAACAATGATTGTCTATTATAGATAGGCTTATAACATGACATCGTAGCATACAACTTTAACAGCAGAACAACCCGTTTTTGGAAATGAAAAATGGACTGAAGGGAAACTAAAAGACAATATGTAAAATAGATGCAAAGATAACATTTTTAGTTCAAGACATAGTATTCTATAAATCTATTTTAGCCACACTAGCAGCATGGCTGCACCACTTTGATACAGACAAAAACATCTCAATAACTATTGGATGGATTGCCATGCAACTTTGTACAGACGTGCATGGTCCCCAGAGGAATAACAATCCCATCACGCTCAGCTGTACTTTGAGTTAGAGCAAATGTTAGCTTGCAAACACGCCAAGCTAAGATGGTGATAAACATGTCTGTGCATGCTAGCATTGTTAGGCTACTGTAAGCATGTTAGCATGCTGATGTTAGCTCAAAGCACGACTGGGCCTTAAGCCTTAGTTAAGCCTTACAGAGTTGCTAGCAAGGCTGTAGACTATTGTGTCATTGTCAATATGAGGCTTCAACAACAAAGATGTTACAAAAGGTGGAATCCACTGCTGTTGTGGAGCTAAAGACTCCTCTGTCCAGAACTCCTCTGCTACGGGGGTGGGGGCACTGTATACTTAGCCCCTCCCATCTGCTCTACCTGCATGTGGAATAAGCGAGCACCTCACCTCTGTTTTTCTCCCAGTGTCAGAACCATACTTAAGTGCTGTTTCCGATACCCATGAGTAAGCCCCATAAAAGCTGCCCCATCGCCGCAGCGTTATTGTTTCTTGCGGATGATTGATTGATGGATGAGGGCTGACACTTCAATGAAGCCATTTTCACTGGCATCTCTATCCGATGATGTGCAGCGTATATTTTCCATCCACGCCTCATTGCTCGCCTGTGTCATTCCTGGAACTTCATTTACACCATGTTCCCTGAAGGACCTTTTTTAGCCCCATCTCCCTTTTTTCTCTCCCCGGCTCCTCTTTTTATCTCCTCTTTTTTCCATGCCATAAAATAATGCTATTTCTTGTCGACTCTGGAGGGGCCTGGAATCATTTGCGCGGAATGATAAAACCAAAGGCATGGAGGGGTTATTTACAGGAAGTGTAACACTGACAGGGTCCCACTGTTCTGCTTTTTTCACTGTCAGATGCCAAGTCCATGCTGAGACAGGGCAGGGCTGTGATATACATTTCAAACACACTCGACCTACACCACATGCACACACAATCATTTGCGGCTATCTCCACCAGCCAAATGGGGACTTCCAGCATTGCAGGTTTTTACCAAGATGTTGTCCAAACCTAACCGAAAAACATGTTTAAGTATATTAGTTCAATGACAGTGTGATTGAGGTGCCTTCTCTGAGACAATTGCCTGTTTTTGCTCATATGGGGAGCAGATGGTAAGTAGGCATCGGTGCGGCAGGCTTTCTGGGATGACAGCCATGAGATTCCCCCTCAGGTGCCATTGGAGCCCCTTTAGAAGGGGAGAGTGATTGGTAGGACATGGCACCTCCTAAGCAACTGTTTCTTTTCCTGAGTTTCCTCATCTTACAGTCTAATCAACAAGATACAGTGCAGCGAGTATGTGCAATGTCACCGAAGACATTATCTATTTGCTTTTTTGCTGGTATATGGAAAACAGTGTATTTATTACCAATGATAAGATGCTTTTCAAGACATATTCATTATACATTAGATTGTCGATAAGAAATTATTATTATGGGCCAAATTACATAAGCAATTTCTCTGTTTGTCTGTGCTGCACTCACACCACTGCTTAGCATTGCTCTATTTGTATTCATCTATTTAGTATTTATAAGCAGTGTATAAACGATTAATACATAGCTTATAACACATTATAGTGTAGTTGTAATCAAACATAAAGACATTTTTTTTAATTTTTCAATAACTGGTGTATTATCAGTTAATGAATGTTTGATAACACAGTAGTTGTAAGCATACAATCATACACGCTCAGTTTTAAATATAGTTGTAAACAGTTTTAAACTTGCTGTTTACAAACAGTTAGTAAACGCTCTATGACACAATGTAATATTGTTATGAGCTAATATAGATATCTTGTAATTGCTATTGATACAATTATTTAAAAAAACTCCATTAGCACTTGTGAAATGTTTAATTAACACTATTAAATTGTTGCAAATTGTAATTGTCTTTTATTTAAATATTCATATATATGAACAATTAAAACCTTAATCTGATGATGTGCATCCACCCACCCACTCACCCTTCCTTATTTAAAACAGCAACGTATTATGTTGTTGGACATTGAATATCTATGCAACACAATCAGCTGATTATAATTATAATCTGTTACACGCAGCAGGTTGACTGATTTATCTGGATAACTTTGCTGAGAAAAAACTGGGAACCTTTTGCAAAACTGAAACATGGACTTGTGTTGAAAGATCGGTTAACTCAACCGAATTATCATTATTCAGAAAACCGTATCCATCCACGAATAAATACATAGTAATGCTGTATTAACAAAGTGAATTTCCCCACTGTGGGACTAATAAAGGATAATCTTAAATTGTCAACTATTTATTCCTTAAGTAATATGTTCATTTTTTATGTTTTTAATACTGACAAATGCTATTAAAATGTTAACGGTAATTTACTTGTGTGCAACTATGAAAGTTTCTACAAGATATGCTTTTTTTTCTGAGCATGAATATGCATCTTATACACGATAATTGTATGATGGTTATTCATGTGCGTACATTCATCCGGTTAATACTTATCAATGTTTGGCAAATATACTTGAGTATTTATTACCATGAAAAGGGAGCTAAAAATAAACTTTACATTTTTTACATTTAAAAAAGAAAAATTATGAATTCATGAATAACCAATTGTAATATATCTATATTTTGACTTTTAATAATATACATTTGTAACAGTTTTATTAATTGTTACATGTGCGCGATCTCTCAAAGGGAAGTTTAAAACAGTTTATAGATGTGATTAAAAGTTATAGTTGTTTTTTTAATCAAACATTCATTAACTGTTTCGTAGCCCGTTATGAATGCTTCATAGCAAAGAACAAAACACATCATTAAACACTTAAAAATGTTCTTATATTTGTTTACAACTACATTACTGTATGTCAGAAACCATTTATTCATTGCGTAAATGCTGCCAATAAATTCTAGATTGGAGAGTAAATTTTACTCTGCAGTCTGCAGATGTGATTACGAATACAAACAGTCTTATTCCGGATTCAAACAGAGCTGCCTGTGGGTTATATTAAGATGTTAATGTGATATATCTAGCCACCGCCTTTATGTGAAACGCATTCGGAGCATCTGCCTTTCAGCACCTTGAGATCGAAACCTCCCCTACATGTGGACTAAAGGG